AAAAAAAAAAAGACCAAAAATGTTGAAAAAAAATAAAGTTTTTCTTAGTTTCTATTATAAAATTTTGCAAACAGGTAATTTTTCTCCTTTACTGATGTGCATTGATGAGGCTGCACTGATAGGCACTGATGGACACTGATAAACTGCATTGATGTGGCAGCACTGGTGGGCATTGATGGGGAGGCACTGATAGGTGGAAATGATGGGCACTAATAGGCAGCACTGATGGTCTCAAATTGGCACTTTTTGGGGCTACACTGATAATCCGTGCCCTGATTATCAGTGTAGATGTCAGCTTTCACACTTTCCGGTTATCGGCAGTACTTTCCTCACACTGTGTACTGCCGATAACCAGCAACTGTGTTTACATGGTGATCAGCTGTGATTCGACACAGCTGATCATGTGGTAAAAGGCCCCTGTGATTGGCCCTTTACTGTGTCATGTGTTCAGCTGTGTCCAAAGGACACAGCGATCACAGAGAGAGCTGGGTGGGCGCCTCTGGAGAAATGCGTTCTGGGAGGACGTCATATGATGCCTTCCCAGAACCGGACGTGGTCAGGAAGTGGTCAAGTCAAAGAAGAAGCCACAAGCTGCATGGAACTGCACAGACCTCCATGTGCACCTCCGAGTGCATACTTGCGCTGGTCCAATGCATAGATCAGAACATGGCCTCTCTGCATTCTGATCTGTTCATCCGACCTGCATGATTGTCCTCCCAGAAATGCATGCCGAGATCCATGAAGCCAGCCGGCTGACAATTATTTGAGCATATATGTCAGTACACCCATGTGAATGATACCTTACATGCATACAGCCAGCGCAAATGTAATCGATTGGCCTGCTCAAGGCCGACTTGTAAATATTAAGTGTGAAATCGGCTTGATACGTTGGACCTAAATGACTGTCCTAACAACCAAGGATGCTAGGCAGCAGGAGCTGTCTGCATCATAGCAACAAAGGCCCCTAGGTTGCAGGAGCCACCTAGCGCTCTAGTAACAGTTAGGGCAATAGGGTACATTTGTGCTATATTTTGTGCAGAATCTTTCAGCTAGACCTTTGTGCCCTAACTTTCTGAGAAAATAAGTTTAAAGGTTTTAAAAACATTCCCAAGTGCTCCTCGTGTTTTTCTCTGCGTAAGATATGCATTGATCATGTAGTTTCATGGTATCATTGTTGTCTGTACACACAGCTTACAGTAGAGAACATCTTCACAAACCTTTGTCAGCAGTTTCTGTTGTCTAAGAACCTCTGTCTGTAGTCTAAGTATTAACACTTTCTATGATGAAACCCACATATCCCACAATTCCCATTAGTGGTGCACCGAAATGAAAATTCTGGTGCCGAAAACAAAAAAATTCAAAATGTACTTAGCTGAAAACTGAAACTGAGTTTTTAAAAATGAATCTATATTTTTTGGGAAAAAATACGCGATTAAAAAAAATAAATAAATTTTTATATAAAACAGTGAAAATTATTCAACCCCCAATGCTGTATAAGGGGTTTAGGGACTATAGTGTACATTTGGAATTGTATTCAGGGAAAAAAATACAAGGACTTGTAACTGATTAAAAAAATGACATCAAATGTTTAAATACATAATTAAAAAAAAAAAAAATTCAACCCCTTAAAGAAAAAAACAGAGGTTCATATAGATATAGATAGATAGATAACATGGATGTCATAGCATAAGCATAATATCTTTAAAATGACTATCTACTCATCAATTTTTTTGTACAAACATGGTGAAGGCAATATGAAAGAGGATGTTACGGCGAGTAACATGTCACACTTTAAAAGACACCTTGCAAGCATCATTCGCACAAGCTCATAGAATGGCGTGAAACTGCGATACTTACAAATCTCCATGGGTGATGCTTTACATATGTCTACAAAATTAGCAGTGTAAAGTTACAGAGGAGGTACCCCCTGATGCGAGAATTATTAAGTGTTCTTGCATGGCAAAAGACCACCTACTGTTATCTCACATATATTTTTTATTATTATAGCCAAATTTACCACCCTAACTCACTCCCACAGTTTTTACACTACATAGGCAGTAAGGGAAGCTACCGAAATGTGCAGATTGTTCCCGATTGCAAGACGATTGGTTTGCTATTACCTTGTGGAACGTTTTGCCCATGAAGAATGGGCGAAGATACCCGTAGATCGCTGCAAGACACTTGTGTCAAGCTATGCTTCACGTTTAAAAGCTGTTATAACTGTAAAAGGATGCTGTACTAAGCCAAATGGTTCACCAAATATCAGCATTTTTGTGGTGAAATTGGTCCCATAGGAATGAATGGTGGGAATGTTCAAAACTAGAATGGGAGCTGACAAAAGCTAGAGTGTGAGCTGAAAAATCAGGACATGATTATTAAATTGCCACCACTCCCTCATTTTCAAGCCCACCTACACAAATCTTATATCAAAATTTTTATTCAGCTATCCCTGCTGCCACTAAAAAAGCCATAGTCCTGATAGTTTTCACAATATGACCGTTTGCAACTCATGCTGCCCATTGACATTCATAGAAAAAAATCAGGACCACTCTAGCCACCTCAAATTTGAAGGGCAATTTCTAAAACTGTGCTACTGTGCCTTCATTTTTTCATATTTCAGAGACATAATATGCATCTAAATGTAGGTCTGGGTCTTGTATTCTCACAATATAAAGCTCTTCAGTGTAGGATTTATAAAAGCTTTTTAAACTACAACCGTTTGAAGATGGCAACCGCCAGTGAAGTGAGCAAGTTGGAGCAGTTTGTTTTTAACCGCTCTTCTCTGCCCTTGCTGTAGAGTGAGTTGCCATAGGAACCCAGGTGTGTGAGCAGCCAGCAGAGTGACAAAAGCTAGAGTGTGAGCTGAAAAATAAAAGTTGAAATGCATTTCTCACTCTATCAAGCTTGCCATGTGCACTTTTTAAATTTGAATCAGTTGGTTAGTGTAATGTTTACTATCTTTACTCACTCCAAACACTCCACACAGTTATTCTGCCCACTCCATAAAGTTACTCTGCCCAGTCCAACCTTTTCACAGTTACTCCGCCCAGTCTAACCTTTTCACAGTTACTCCAGCCACTCCAACCACACAATAGTTACTCAAGCCACTCCACCCAGTTACTCCGTCCACTCCAGTTGTAGACTACTGGTGGAGGCAAGAACACTTCACACACTTGAAACTGCGGTACTTACAAATCTCCATGGGTGATGCTTTAAATATGTCTACAGGTTAGCAGTGTAAAGTTACAGAGGAGGTCTAATGCGAGAATGATTGCTCTTACTCTGACGTTCGTGGTGATATCTCACATGTGTGGTTTGAACACCATTTACATATGTGGGTATGGCCTACGTATGCGTTCACCACTACATGCGAGCACGGGGGGATGGAGGTTTAAACATTTTTATAATTTATTTAATGTTTTTTTTTTTTTTTTTGCCCTGTCACTTTTATTCTTATCACAAGCAATGTATGCATGCCCTGTAATAGAAATAGTGACAGGTCCTCTTTATGGAGAGATATGGGGTCAATAAGACTCTCCTCTGCAATGTAAAGCATTGAATAGAAAAAAGCATTGATCTAGTACTTTAAAAAAAAAATGGCCGGAAGTGACATTGCTCTGTTCCTCAAAGGGCATAGAGATGAGTGGATGCCATCTTTCATTCACTAATCTCTATGCCCAGCGCCGGGATCGTTTGATGGTTTCTCAAGTAATGCTGAGATCTACCGAGCGGCGGCCGGGGTTTTTCGGCACCTGTATTGGTGCTTTTTTTTTTTTTTTTCATTTCGGCCGATGGCCGGAAGGGAAGTTTTCGGCCGAAATGTTTCGGCCACCGAAATTTGGGTGCATCCCTAATTCTCATTCCAGTGTTCTGCAGGTGAGAGCTAAATAATTACATGTAAAACAGACACAAACAGGCAGTGTAAAGGGAGAGATGTGTTTTTATCATGGCTATGAATCGGCCATCTCCTACATAGCTGTTGTCAGATCAGCCACAGCAGAAAGTGAGGACAGGTCGACACTCATAAATATGGTTAGAAAGCGCTTGGAAACATGAAAAGTGCCACATGTATTTTGTCTCATAGGGGGCATAACTTTCAAATTATAATTGAGGAAATAAGGTACCTAAAAGGTTTAAGGCTCATTCTCAAAGCCACACACTGCCCAGATGAGCATAATTTTTGTGGTGGGTACAGCCAGGTGTTTGTTTTCTTCTGGAAACAAACTGTAAAATTCAATCACAGGCTGACACCTAGCTTGGCTTTCCATGATTGTTTGTATGTTCTCACTCAAGGAGCAATTATATGTGAGGCAGTGGGTGGGAGATCAGCCACTTGTTTTTACTGCCCCCTGGATTCCTGTATGAAAGGAGTCTTAGTGGCCATTTTACAAACAACTGAATTTTAAAATTGTATAAATAAAAAATACACACATAGTAATATAATATATATACATGTTCATTGTCAAATGCCACTTCTCTAAAATATGATTAAATTTTCACTGTATTTCAATCTAATTTCCAGTATTTTTTGTCTTAAGCTGGCCATAGATGGGTAGTTTTTTTTGTTTTTTTTCCCCCTGGCTTAGTGAAAAAACAAAAAAAAACTGATTTCTCCATCTACACAATATGAATGAGGAATCCCCTTTTCTGGGACATTTTATCCTGAAAGTGGAACCCGATGCTGTCAGAATACACTGATCAATGACTGCAGCTGCTGATCGATAAAAGTTTTCAAACATGTGGATTCGATCTAATGATCAACTTCTGTTGAACTGGGACAGCCACACAATGATCAGTCCGAGCTGAATCATCCGAATTTCGATCCGTCTATCGGCAGCTTAAAGCGAAGTTCCACCTGAAAGAAAATTAATAAAAAATAAGTCAGCAGCTACAAAAACTGTAGCTGCTGACTTTTAAAATACAGACACTTACCTGTCCCTCGGTCCAGCGGTGTCTTTACCACGGCTGGTTTCACTGGCCAAATTCACTCCCCGGCGGCGGCATCTTCAGAGTGGGCACCCGGCTGTGACAGCTTGTGGCTTCACAACCGGGTGCCCACTACGCATGTGTGAGCAGCGCTGCGCTTTTTGAATGGCCCTGTAGTCTTCTGAGACCTGTCACGTGTCCCAGAAGACTACGGGGAGGGAGGACAACTTCTGCTTCCGAATTGCGGAATTGGGATCAGGTACCTGTCAAATTCGGGTACCCGCTCCCCAAAGGTGCCAATCCTTAATGGAGAGCGGGGACAAAGGCTTAAAGCGGAACTTCCCCTTTTTGGGTGGAGCTCCACTTTAAGGCCCTTTTCACACTGGTGTGCTTTTACCACGCTTTTCCAGGGCAAGAACAGCGCATGAAAACTATTCCCCATTAAATCCTATGTAACTGTTCACACTGTAGGTGTAAGTCAATGGGAATACATCAAAAGCACATCAGTGTGAAAGGGTCCTTACTCGCATGCAAAAAATCCTGTCCACATGAAACTCTCCGAGGATGTATGTAAGCAGGAAGGTGCTGGAGGTAAAATGTAATGTTTGCTGCATTGCATCTTTGTTCTTTTTTCATGCACCTCTCATCGTTGCAGAGAAGTGACTGTTTAATTGTTGTTCCTGGACAAATTACACAACATTTTTACAGTGTGCTGTAATGATCTGTGAACCAAGAAATCCATCCAGATATGTCTTGGTTTACATCAGTTGTGAACAAATATTGCTTCATTGTCCCGGTATTGCTCAGTGCCTGATAAGGATACTCATACAAATTAGTAAATTGCTCACTGGGTATCGAGTAGTTTCAATATTATTGTGTGACTTACTGTATGTATAAACTGACATGTATTCTATTTAAAGCTGAACTTCACCTAAAAAGGGAAGTTCAGCTTTATTCCTCCTCCCTCTCTTCTACTACTTTTGCAGTTTTTTTCCAGGGTGCAGGTACCTAGTTTTGACAAGTACCTGCTCCCACTTCCACCTGGATTGCCGTAGGCGATCTGATGTTCAGGCTCCCCCCTCCCCACCTGCAACCTCCTAAGACACGTCATCTGTTCTATAATGCTGTGGGTCAGTTCAGAAAGGGCAGTGCACAGTGGGGAGCTGCCTGTGGAGCCACTGACATTCAGAGCCTGTTTCCCACAAGCAAGATGGCGGCACCAGGGACCTGAAGACAAGCGACGAACTGGAGCAGTTAATGACAGCGATGCATCCCTAGACAGGTAAGTGTCTGTTTATTAAAACTCAGCATCTACAGTATTTGCAGCTGCTGACTTTTAAATTTCCCAGAACTGACTATAGCTCTTTTTTGTTTTTCAATAGTTTTTATTAGTTTTAATCAGTATAAAACAGAGGCGACAAAACATGCCCCCACAGGGGCTATCAATTGCACCGATAAGATAAAAAACATAATAATAAAAGAAAAACAGTGCTCTAACTTCAACAAGGCAGAAGGTACGCCCACGCAGGGGCTATCAATGGCACATAGGTTACAATGACGGTAATGAAATTCTAACTGCAATTAAAGGCAGCTGTCCACTATCACCCAAAAAACTAACAGAAATGGAGAGAAAGAAAGAGAAGAGAAATAAGAGGAGAAAAAAAAAAAAAAAAAAAAAAAGGGAGAGGAGGGGGCAGAGATCCAAGAGCGCCACCATCAAACGCCAGTGCCTAACGCCATTACATCCCCATTAGCCAAAGGAAGCGTGGGAAAGGCATATTGCAACCATGGTTCCCATATTTTCGAGAATTTACATTGGGAGTCGTTGCATATGCTCGACATCTGTTAATTAAGCATCATATTGGTCATACGGTCCCGCACCCCCTGAAAAGGGACAAACGGACTCTTCCAGGCCTGAGCAATTGTTCTGGTGGCCGACAAAAACAAATAGGACGCCAGCTTCTGCTGATGAGCCAAGAGACCCGGTATGGGGCAATGCAGCAAGGCATACCGAGCATCCCGGCGTATAGATAGATGAAACAATGTGAAAAGGAGGCCAAATACACGAGACCAAAAACGGACCAGTCTCGGGCATGACCACCAGGTATGCAAGACATCGCCACGATGGCCACAACCCCGGAAACATCGATCACTACAAGCGGGATTAGCCTGGGCCAAACGAAATATAGCTCTTTTTTAACCGCTCCCTGCCCAGTGACATACTGATATGTTGCTGGATAGGAAGGGTGATTTCTCAGTCATTGCTGCAGTTGCAGTGATGACCAAGGTAAAATTGTTTTCAGCTGGCAATTCTGAAGTTGGTAAAATTAATCCAAATAGCTGAAGAGCTGCTGGATTACTTTCACAGGAGGTGGAAAGGGGCCCCCCTGCCCCCTCTGTTGCTGCCTTTACCGGGCTCTCCCGAGCAATTTACATATATATTGTACATTCACATCAGTCCTTACCCTCAAGGAGTTTACAATCTAAGGTCCCTAACTCACATTCATATACATATTAGGACCAATTTAGACAGGAGTCAATTTACCTACCAGCATATCTTTGGACATACACTTTAATAAATTGTGGGAAGGGATCTGTGCATAATGGATAAAAGATAGCTAACTGCTATTGTCATGATAGAAGAGGGCAGCAGTCCCAGACTAGCACTTTATGCATGACTGCTGAGAGTCATAGGCAATTATCATAGCACAACACATTAACATCAAACATTAATGCGTCCTTCCCAAATAACAACACTGAGACCAGCATAAGTGGGAAAGGGCAAGGCTATAGCTTTATTGAGGTTAACACAAATAGAAGCTGCAACATAACATAAAGGTAATGAGCAATTATCACAGATTAAACCCCGTGCCATCACCAAAATATTACATGCACTTAAAATAAATCTGTGCTTTTCTCATGCAAAACAAAACAACAAGGTAACATTAAGCTGCCCCATCATCATCTTATACTTTGCTTCTGATAGTGAGGAGAAGAAGCTCTGACCCGATCCTGGCAAGAGCTTACACATTTTATGCCCCATTATATTGTTTCAGTACCTGAGCAGCCATTGGCAACATTGTTGTCATGTGGGTGTCAGGAGCGTTTAGCGCTCCTGCTCCAACACAGCTGCTGGTCTCATTCCAGCATCTTGGATTTGATTGTGATACATTCTGTCTGTCCACCTGCAAGGTGATGGATGTGGCCAGTCTGGGTGGAGACCAAACCTAGTTTCAGCCAGCCAAGTCTACAGTCTCCTACTTGCGATATCACTGGTTACATGTGCTCAAGCTCCCTGTTTGTCTGTTCTGCTCTGCACTTGGGATCCCCTTGTTGACGGTTTGGATTGTTGTATATTGACTGTTCTCTAAACTCTGCTTGTTTTTTGACTATGAGTTGACGCTGACTGTTCTGAACCATGCCTGCTTTGTACATGGACTGCCATTGAGCTACTTTGCTTGTCTGCCAACCACAAGTATCTGTTTGCTGTGCTCAGTTCACTACTGCCCCGGCATGGTAAGACAGGCATTGTATATAAGACCTGTGGGCAACAGAGTACCAGTGTTGCCAACCTACCAGATTGAAATTTACTGACCCGAAACCCAAAGTTTACTGTTACAGCCAAGTTTTTACTGGCATTTCCAATAGTTAAAAATTACACTTTAGGTGCAAATGTCAATATTTTAGGCTGCAAAGTGCAATAAGCAGTGTGATTTAGGGTAGATATTAACCACTTCAAGTCCGGACACTTTTACCCCCTTCCTGTCCAGGCCAATTTTCAGCTTTCAATGCTATCACACTTTGACAGTTGTGTCGTCATGCAACACTGTACCCATATGAATTTTTTAGCATTTTTTTGAGACAGATAAAACTTTATTTTGGTCATATTTATTCACCTCTGGGATGTTTATTTTTTTTGCTATGTAAATGAAAATGTCCAAAAAATTTAGAAAAAAAGTGTTTTTCTTATAAAAGTTTGCAAATAAATAATATTTCATCATAAATCTTGTCCAAAATGTATTCCGTTATCTTTGTAGTAAAAAAAAAAAAAAAAATAACCCAAATTAGTTTATAACCAAAAATAATTTTTAAACTTTTTTTTTAATTTTTTTTTATATTTTTGTTTTTTTTTTGTTACATACTGTCACCCTAGCAGTACAGTGTCACCACGGTGACACTGTACTACTTATGGGGGGTGATGACATTTTTTTTTTACACTGATTGCTTTTACATCCATAAAGGCTGTAAAAGCAATCATTTCTCCAAAATCCGCACGTTCCTAACCTCAGAAACCACTAAACAGCTCATCCACTCCCTCATCATATCACGACTCGATTACTGCAACTCCCTCCTCACTGGCCTGCCTTGCCACAGGCTATCCCCGCTTCAGTTGATCCTGAATACGACAGCCAGACTTCTTCACCTTACCAACCGCTCCGTTTCTGCCACCCCCCTCTGCCAATCCCTCCACTGGCTTCCAATTGCACAATGGATCAAATTCAAAATCCTATCACTGACGTACAAAGCTGTCCATCATACTGCCCCAAATTACATCACCGACCTAATATCCAAGTACCACCCAACACGCACACTCCGCTCCTCTCAAGACCTCCTTCTCTCTAGTTCCCTGGTCTCCTCCTCCCATGCCCGCCTCCAGGATTTCTCCAGGGCATCACCCATCCTCTGGAACTCCCTACCCCAATCCATCAGACTATCACCTACTCTCCTCTCATTTAGGCGTACCCTGAAAACCCATCTCTTCAGGGAAACCTACCCCACCCCCTGCTAATTGCTGACCACCTCCACTCTTCCTACCACTCCATCCCCCACAGTTATCTCCTCCTGTACCACTATCCCCTCTCTCCTAGATTGTAAGCTCGAAGGAGCAGGGCCCTCGAACCCCTCGTGTATCACATTGTATTGTTATTGTACTGTCGCATGTACTGTCCCCCATTGTAATGTACAGCGCTGAGCGAACTATTGGCGCTTTATAAATACTGCATTCTTGCAGCCATTGAGAACTACTGTGTGAGCTGTAATTGGTCACAGCTTGTCACATGGTACAAGGCTGTTGTGAAAAGCCTTGTACCATGTGACCTCTGTGATCATTCACAGATTTCACATGTAGTAAGCAATGATG